TCTCTTGCTCTCATTGGCTTACCCAAAATAAAAGGCAATTCTATTACATTTCTCTCTCTAAAAACCCATCAACTTAGTGTCTATCAACATATATCAAACATATATACACACACATGCCATTCCAATAGCTTCCTGCACAACACTTTATCCCATTAATCAGGCTGGAGGCATGGCATGGTACTTGAAAATCAGTATATACCAATAAGAAGGCACACAGACATCCCACTGACACAGCTATGATTTGTGTTCTTCAAAAACTTGAGGCCTATTTGGTTTGCATCTCTAAAACAGTATTCAAAAACAGTTTTTTAGAAGAGTTTTAGAAAAGTGTTTTTAAGACACAAAATTGTTTGGTTAGATGATTTCAAAAATAATTTTACAAAATAAAAAACAATAAAACCTGTTTGGAATACATGGTTTCATATAAAAATATTTTAATATATTAAAATTGATAAAAAAAAAATTAAAAAAAAGAAAAATTAGCCATTGATTTAATTGAACCGAAACTTCGCCGGATTAATAAAATTAAAAAAAAAAAAGGAAAAATTAGCCGGAGATGACCCATTGCCGGCGAAGACAAACCAGATCTGGGATCCTTGCAAAAGTCAGAGAAAGAAAAAATCTGAGATGGAGAAAGACCAACAAAAAAAATTTTTTTTATGGAGTAAACCAGTCGCTAGAGAAGACAAAGTCATCGAAGAGTGTAGTCATTCCTTTATTCAGGTTTTGCCGAAGTAGAGAGAGAGAGGGGAAAAAAAAAAAGAAACAACCGGTAAAAAAAATACTCTTTATAGGAGGATCTTATTTGCGACTAAGAAGGCTCGAAGGGCAGACCTCTTTAATGAGCAAAGCTTGTCTCTGTGTTTCCAAAATTTTCAACGAAAACTCCGAAAATAAGTTTAACTTGTTTTCTATTTTTTTGCTCCAATTTTCATTTTTTCTCAAAATTTTGAGAACAAAAATGCTAAACAAACAAATTTTGGGTATTTTTGAAATTTTAAGAACAAAAAACAGTTTTCGGAACGCAAACCAAACATCCCCTTGGTTTTCAGTCTTGGAACCCTATTTTGTATTACTTTTAAGTTGAATATTGATCTCATGAGACAGTGTTGGTCACTTTTAACAACTACCTATAATGCTATGTAGAATTTATGTAAAAGATGTTTATTATTGGGCACAGACAAGGGAACAGTTTAAATTAAACCTCACAAATACAGAGTTGTCCAACCCACAAAGACTAACTCTAGTTGTGAAGGACTCACACGGTGACTCTTTATCTATGTATTTGTATATACACACACCCTCTCTCTCTCGACATACATACATAAACAAACAAAAGGAAAAAGTTAAAAATAAACCTCGCAAAAATGGATTTATCCAACTTGACAAGACCAACTCCAGTTGTGGAGGACACACGTTGCGACTCTATCTATGCATTTATATATACGTGTGCATACTCTCTGTCTCAGTCTCTTTATATATGTATGTATGTATGAAAGAAAAGGGCCACTCCTACTTGAAAATTATTAGCTAAATACTTATATAACACTTCTCTATAATTGCTTAGGCTTATAGATGATAGTCCAATATGGTATTAGAATTAGGCCTTCAATAGCTAGGCCTCTCAACTAGTCAAATTTCCCAGTCTGTTGATCCGTCTATATCAATTCAACTTCAATCTGTTTGTTTATTTGTTACAGTTTACTTTGTTGGCCCACAAGCAAGTCCGGAACGTGAGGGAAGATGTGAAGAGAGCTATCCTACATCAACAAACTAAGTAAACCCAAGGTCTGTTTATATACTTGAAAGGTCACTCCATCCATGACCAATTAATTTTGGGTTGAATACTCTATCATGGTATTAGAGCCTAGAGGCCTTGAATTCACATTCCACCAGCCTCCTCTCTCATAACACAAAGAAAAAACAAAGACACGGATGAACTGCCCAAAGAGAGACCACACGTGGGGAGGAGCATTAAATAAATATTTATGTCACATAGCTCTCTAATAGCTTAAGCTTTTAGAGATGATAATGCCTCAACAAGAATAAAGTTTCAACGGAACAATCTAAGTGTGTGAGTTTTTCTATGTATCAAGCACGTATTGTGGTTTCAAGTTCCATGGCTGTTTGTCTCTCTCTCATATACCTATAAAAACCAAACAAGAAGAAGAGGATGACGAAAATAAATCAAATTTGATCCATCTCACAGCATTGACCCGAATTTGATTTGGTTCTTTTTCCACCAAATGCCCTTACATGCAAACCACATTGCATTTTTCATTACCCATTGAAACATCTGTCATTGATTGGTTTGGACCATTTAAAAACAAATTAGAAACTTTTTCGGACATAATTAATTAAACTTTTAACTGGAACATCAAAATGAGATTAAGAGTATACTTTGGGAACCATTGGTGAATTCTTCAAAATTAAGAATTTGTGAAATATTTGGCTATTATATTCTAGTCCACCTAAGACCCCAGATAAAATTCAAACACTACTTCAACAAATCTATACGACCCATAGACTGTGGATACTACTCATATCCAGTAATTACTAAAATGACCATAATACCCTTTACACAAAAAACTAACAAAAAAATGAATAAACACGATCAACAACATACTAAACTAAAACAAAAAATGATAAAGGCTTCATAACCTATCACATACACTTTCCTTTAGACCAAATAAAACCCCACTGGAGACCAGAGCTCTGGCATAGACTTCGAAAACCTATGATATTTGTCCAAATAGTTGATAGATGTTGCATTAGCTCTACTTCTTTTCTTTTGAAGCACCACTATCAAGAAAATTAGATACATCTATTCTCAAGATATATCGTCTTAGATTGTGAGAAAAGAAGAAAATGGATTAATAATACATTTGGTCAGTGGATCTTTTATACAAAAATAACTAAGTTTAATGACTTAAACATCTGGCCATAACCAAATTTAACCAGTGTCACCGAAGATAAAAAACCATTTAGGATATGCTCCATTAGATGATTGAAACTCAAAAAGTTTACCCTTTTTATGTGCAGCTATTTGTACAGCTATAGGCTAAACTAGACTTGGCAATTATGAATCTCAATCCTTTTCTTTATAATAACATGGGTTAAGAATCTAAGTAAAGAAATCTTTAGAACTGATTACTTTGACATTTGCTTCTTGCACCAAAATCCCTTGTGTAGGCATGCACATAAAAAACTCTATTTTGTGTATAGCTCTGGACATTCCACTTTGACATAGAGAGAGATTGACATAGAGAGAGAGAGACAGACAGAGAGAGTGAAGCAAAATTGAGTTCCCAAGAATTTCACTCTTTTTATGAGCAATTTGCTTCTATTTTTACCATGCAAAACCTATCAAAGAGATCCTTAAACTCTTTACATTTTTACACTAGAACTATCTTGGTAGAATTCAAGAAGGTAAACACTACTCCAAAGTTGTTCCACATCCTAGGCCTAGGGTGGCCCAACATATGGAGGTCAAAGATCAAAATATCGTTTCGAAACGTCCGAAACGTTTCCATTTTCAAGGAGACCGAAATAAATCAGTGATAGACTCAAAATTCTAATATTCAAAATATTCCATAATGTTTCGATATGTTTTATAATATTTTAATGTATTTGTACAATTATTTTGAAATGTTTCAAAATATTTTAAGATACTTTGATATAATTCGATCAATGTTTTAGAAAAAATAATTTTTAGATTTTTTATTTTTTTTATTAAATTTTTGAAACGGGTCAAAATATTTTCGAAATACATCGAAACATTTCTGTTTCTTAAGTGACTAAAATAATACACCGAAACGAAATTTTGATCCTTAATAGAGGCCTTAGGCGAAAATGTTTAATGGGGCCCTAGTAACATTTAGTACAATAGTATATGTACTACTAAACAATTATTATTAAGATATAATTGTCCGAGAAAAATTTTAGGTTCGGTAGAGCAACAATAGATGTTGAGAGTTCAATAAAATTCTAGTGAATTTGTATTTGATCGTTCTTAATGAGTTATTAACAAAGTGTCTAAGAGCTATACCTCTGTTAGTTATGCCTCATATATCCGTGAAATAAGTTTTTTTTTTTTTTACTAGACTGATTATGCTATTCCATTCAAGTTTGTGCATGAATACTCCATTAAGTTCCATTGATAAGTTGCATTTTTTAAGGTCAAATATAATTAAACATGTTATCTATTGAAGATACGGAGAAAGAGAAATGAAATTTTATATCATTAGAAAAACACTATTTTTGAAACGAATGCAAGAAATTAGTATATGTTAAATTTCCTAGAATAAGTAAGACGTGGTTGAGGTTTGCAGAGAAACACAATCATAATTAAACGAGAAAATTCAGCCAAACAATTATTGTTATTGCCACTATTTGGATAGTGAGCTACTCCTGCTCAATATGTTTTTTAGTTCGTTTGTGCATAATAAAAAATTATTCTAGCAAAAAATCGGACCCAAATCAAAAGGGCATTAATTTAACCTAAGAAAAAAGTTACAGTTCATAACTTTTAGGTGATAAACAATTAATTAGTCAATCGATTTTGATTGCCTGACATCAACAATATCGTGTTAATAGATGGCATATGTCTTCTATGTTATATAAAAATAAGGTAAAACAAAAACATCAATTTAAAATTAGGGCTCTAAAATTATTTTTACACAATCCTAAAAAATAAATTTGGGGCCCTACCCACCTTAGTGGCCTATGTGTAGCGTCGGCACCCCGCCTAGACCATATCTCAAAAGATTCTTAAATAGTAAGAACCCCCAACCATCCCATCATGCGCGCGCGCGCACACACAAAGGTTCACAATCACAAACAACCAATATGCCCCAAAAAAAACATGTAATGGAGTCTTTGCAAATCATAGTGTTTAGTGCAAAAGGTCAAATAAGTTAAATGAAATTGCTATAATTATGTTGGGAGAAATTTCAATGAAGTATAAAAACTGAGTGTACCTCTGTGGACTAATGACATGATTAAACAATAAGCCAACTCACCAAAATATCGAAATCTTGCTCCTTTGGTGATTTTTCATCTGTTACGGGAACACGCTCGTAGTCAACAAGGTAACGTTTTTTTTGCAGTTCCTCATATACCTAGCATGGAAAAAATCACTGTGAATATACATATATATATATAAAATCTACTTAAATTGCATCTTCATTTTCAACATGATTTATATAAGTCATAGACTCCTAGGTAAACCTCTAACGGTGTTTTCACAGAATCATGTGTCACTGGTTCCCATTGATCCACCATCTGACCATCTGGCAGTTCATCAGTTACGAGGATCTTATTTCCATATCTGTTAAGGGTCAAGTGAGCAAATAAATTTGGTTTCATGCAAAGCAAGAAAATTTAGTAGTCTACAAAACTAACAAAAATTTGATACACACTGAAAAGATTAACAAAGTAAAACTCAAGAATATACCTTGCTGCTTCTAGCAAAATATCTTCTTTCAATCGATTCTCCATCTGCTCAACTCTAGCCCTGTTAATACCCTAATTTAATATGAAAAGTCAAATATAACCAAGAACAGTAAAGACAGAAATCAGTAAGCAAAGAAAAGAATGTAGAGGTCAGTAACCTCTACATTTGTTTCAGTGTGCAAGGATCAAAAAATTAGTGTGCATCAATATGTGCAAGAATCAAAAATTCATTTCAGTGTATAGTTTCAGTGAGCTAGGAAATGAAAATGTTTCGGTAATATTTCGGAAACATTTCGAAAACAAAATGGAAACAAAAAAAAATTGAAAATTTATTTTCGAAACATTGGTTGAAACACGGAAATATTCTGAAACATAGGTTGAAACATGTCAAAACATCTCGAAACCTACTAAAACACTTCGAAACATCTCAAAACACACGAATTTTGATATTCAATCAATGATTGGTTTCGATTTCCATAGAAACAAAAAAGTTTTGGACGTTTTGAAACGAAATTTAGTTCCTTGAATATGTGACATCAAAATTAATGTCAATGGAGAAGAAAATTTCAACGAGATACAAACAATTTATATAAGTAGGGTATCTATGTCAAGAAAAAGAAATTACAAAGTGAAAGAGTCATTAAAAAATGAAAATTTTCATTTAAAGTTCTGGTAATCTCAAAGAGAGCACATAACTGTAGTTCGAAGCAAGCATCTCTATCCATAGACTGTCTTCTTCGGCTGGTCTCCAAACCATTCACCAAAGTTTCTTGATTCTTAACAGACTGTGGTCTAATCACAATTTTTAAACCTAATAGCCATATTAACATTAACCCAAATACTCAACAGGTATAGAAAGGGGGAATACCTATATTCCTCTATCCTGAAATTAGGGACTATCTTTAGGATTCCGACATTTTAAGAAGACTTACTAAGTCAAACTGAAGGGTAACGATGGGGTGGATGGAATCTACCACTGGTTTGTGACAAAATCTGTCCCAAAATGTTCACATACAAATCTAAGCTCCAAGTGAGTACAACTATGCATCTTTCCATGACCTGGGTAATAAATTTTGTTTTGTTTCGTTTGAAAGACACAAAATGTTACATCTTTAATTGGAAATGAAGCAACATATAAAAATACTTACGAAGAATAAACATTTCGAATGAAACATAATGTATTTCATCTTAATCTATCATAACTTTCACGAAACATAATATTTCAATCAAAACCATATGCTATATTTGTAAGACTTCAGCTAACTTGCAGGTTTAGTGGACCCATATGATGTCTATTTATGCGTTTGGGAGCTAATATCAAGTGTCTCGATTACCAAAAAATATGAAGTCATCTTAACTTTGGCTTGAATGGTTTCCAATATGACAGCTAAACACACACCAAAAATAGTCCAATACTCAAAACACTTGATCTTTTTTATGCCAAATGCCCCAAAACTCTTTTTTTTTTGGATAAATTTGACAAACTATTTTTATCGCCATCTAATAGAAGCTTTAATTGTTGGTATTACATACACGGATTTCAAAAAAAATCCTAAGTGACATAATAATTGTCCAATTATTTGTACTATTGATTTGTGCATTGTTGTATTGAAAAATTTAAACGTTATCATTAGTTGTAAATTCCATTTTCGTTTGATTACAAATGTGTTCAATCATTTTTATAAATTTACAACGTTTCCATTATACAATCGAGATACTTTTCTCCTTGTGGTTATCTAAAGCTTAACCTATTTTCTTTGGTCATATTACCATTAATACCAAGAAAAGGGCTAAAAACATATTATAAGATGTCAGGATGCAGACAACCATGCAATGTAAGGTTAAATTCAAAAAATTAAATAAACAATATGCCAATTTTAAACGTGAAGTTGTTTTTAAACACACCGTATGCTCAAGATTGGAGAAGGGCCTCTCCACATCACGCAAAACAAAAGGGCGTCCATTGATATACACCACCTGTTTCGAGAATAGAAAGGTATTAAAGAAACTGGAACATTGGAAGATAAGATTTCCTTGAGATCTCTAAAATGTTGGTCAAGTTTTAATATGCCTAAGAATATGTTAAACATTATCAACAATATAAAATGTCATTACCAAAGGTGATCCCACCAATGAAGGCTGCTGGGAGAGGTACATTAAAAATCCGTCCTACACTCAAACTTCAACCAACATTCTGACGTTGGACAGCCTCAGCTTTTTACCATTGCATCAAACAACGGCAAAATCATTACAGGCATAAGTATGAGCATTATAGGAATTTCATATTCATTTTGTTTTTCTCTGAACTAATGTAGACAAAAGTATCACCAAGTCATCATTTTTCTCCTTAGAAAAGTCGCAAGACATATTCTATGTAGATTGATAAGGATTTACCAAAAATATAATTTTATGTCATGATCCATCTACAAATGTTTACAGATTATTTGATTATTTTTCAAGTAGTTGATTGTTTAACAGTCTCTATTGGGTCTAAAAAGGTTAAAAGTTTCTGAAGATTATCCATACAATATTTCACATCCGAAATTTCTTTCTCTAAGAGTTATTTGGGGTGCACTGTGCAAGCAGAATAACCTATAATCAGTATGTGAAAATCCTTTGTGTCAAGCCAAAATTAAAGACAAAAAACAGCATCACTTCTCTCAATGATTTTTGGGATTCTTTTTTAGAAAGACGGGGGAGAGAGGGAGAGGGAGGAACCTCTTCAAAGGAAAATACCAAAGACAACGGGGAAGTTGGTGAAACAGCATCTCTTACATCTTCAAGTCATTACCCAAATGATGTGGAAGGAAGAAAAGCAACAGGGCGACATTTTTGCGTCTCATGTGCCAAGGAAATCACTAGCAAAAGTCTCTCCCAACTATATAATCAATACTAATGACATAATAAATCCTTACAAACAAAGCCATTGGATATGAGATATAGAGATGTCATCCATGGTGAAAAGATGATAGTTGATATTCCTAAATACGTAAAGGGTCCGCACACCTATTAACCAGTTAGTTTGGGTGCTACAAATATGTGTGAGTATCTGACATAGTCTTTTTGGCATTATGAACCAAACACTACTCCATCCACATGAATTAGTGTTCAGGATGCTTCCCAGTTCTCACAGGCTTTCTGATTGCCTCCAGGGTTGAACTGGATGTCAATATAAATTCTTTCATTCTGCATCAACCTATGATAAATGATTATTTCTTGCAATAAACTCCTCATACTTGTGTGAGATTGACATGAAACCATAAGCATTTATTTGCTAAAATTTCTGTGCATGTTAATCTTCATAGAGATTCATAAAAGATTAACATCAAAGCTTTATGCATGAAATGCCGGTGTTGAATCATAAGCAAAGCTTTGATGATGGTACCCCATCCACATATATGACTTACCTAGTGCAAATATCAAATAAGCAAATGAAGATTTTGTTTTACCGGTTCCTCACGAAGGTTAATCCAGAGAACTAGTGTTTGCTTCCCATCATTTTGGGCCCCAATGTGATCGAGAACATTTTGGATGCCATCAATTGTCGGAATTGCAACACCATGGACATGCATCGAGTCGGCCTATAATCATTCATGAAGAAATCGGAAATGAAGTCATAGACTTGTTTAAGAATCTTAAAAGCATGAATAAGATCTGCACTACGAAGATTCATGATATAGAGAAAAATAGAATTAGAAGCACAAGAACCTTTTAAAGCATAAACTCGAGAGATTGGCAAAATATCATTCTTTGTGGAAAAATATTCCCAATCTAACACTTTGTAAAAAATAATTCCGGTAGTAATTTTTTGCTTTGTCAATTAAAGTATTTCTATAGATAAATTACAAGCTTAAAAAAAAAAAAAGATTAAGACTTGACTAAGAAATATTAATATGGGAACATTCTCATAGCAAGTCTTAGATTGGAAATAGTTAATTAAGAATGTTATTTTGTAAAACTCAAAGCTCGAGCAGTGAGACTATTGCCAATTTGCCATACGTGAGACCATTGACCAAAAACCTAATGATGCCACAAGCACAAGAGAATGCACAATTCAGGGGCCTGGTGCTATGTGAACAATGAAGCTATGAATACAAGAAGTGACCGAGGTAGTCTAGAAACCACCCGGGGCACATTTCTCCAGTATGTGGTGGTTTCGGAGTGTGAACTGTGAAGGGAAAAAAAGTGGGAATTGGGCATGCATCAGACCCTTTTTCGAAAATAGCTGCTTTATATCACTATAACAAGAGGTAGCTAGGAGCTGCTAAGAAACGGAAACCGCAAAATGAGGGTGGGAGGGTGGGGGACTAACGATGCATTCCTGTAATTCCACATCTCTGTACCTAACAAATGAAAGAAGTTGGTGATCAACGTAAATAAAAAGAAAAGAATGTATTCAGGGAGACAATCCACAGAATCAGATCAGGAATATTACTGAAAAAGATTTTCCGAAATTAAGGAAAGAACAATGAGACGATAGGAAAAGAGAAATCTTTATCTTGAAAGAAATGGGAAAAAACCTGACGGTAATTGGGAGCACCATCGATCTGGGGAGACAAACGTTTGTTCTGACAGCCAGGAAAATGGTCACTCTTGAGAATGGTCTTCTTTCCCAGAACAGATCCGTCTCTCCGTTTCATGACCTGCTCTGGCTCTTTTGGTATGGACATGGTCCGCCTCTCTCCCTCCTCACTCTCACACTTAGAGGCAGATAAAAGAAATAATTAGAGAGTTATCAATCAGAATAACAGCATCCCCTTTCCCTTTACCCAAAAAGAAACTTTCTTCCTTCAGTGCTTCATCTATAAGAATTGTTCTTGTATGCTGGTTGGTTCTTCCACGGCGCTAAAAAACTAAAACCCATTAAAATGTATTGTTCGTTATTCATGTTTGTCCCTGTCCAGCAGAATTTAAAGCGCCCCTTCCCCCCAACCCTACTTTACCCACCCCGGAAAAAAAAAAAAAAAAAAACACACACACACACACACACAACAGCTAATCTTGCTGGCTCGCATAAAAACCGATGCAACGCCGCAATTAGACGGCGCAGCCGATGCCCACCAAAGCGGAGAGATACAGCTCTTCCAAGAACAGGTTGTGGAGGAGGATGGATGAAGGGTTGGACAATTGGGAATTAATGCGTTTATCTGGTGAGCATTTATTCAGTTCAGTAGTAGTATATTACAACCCGATTCAGGTGTTTTTGGGGAACGAAGGAACCCAGTCACCTGACACTGCAACGCGAAAACCGTGCGCTGCGGTCTCGTCTTACTTCCCTATATGGTATTGCTCCAAGGGTCCAACCCGTATGGGCGGGCAACCATTTTTAATTTTTTTTTACGATTAACTATTTTTTTCCAAAAAAAAAAAATTATGCTGTTTATTGTAATAAACTTCTAACAGTTTCAAAGACTAGAATGTGCCCCCAAGTTTTAAGTAAATTAAATTGATCGCTAACAGTGACCAAAACATAAAAAATAAAAAAATGAGAAAGTCAAGATAAAAATATATTTGTTTAGTTTTAAACCAACGCAATATACAACATTTCGTTCCTTTTCACTTTCGCTTCCATTCAACACCAACGAGTGAGCACACACTCTTTTAGAGGTAGTTATATTTTTTTAACAAAATATAAATCCAATACTTAAAGTGGGGGTTATTTATTGAAAATAAACTTGAAGGAGTAAATGAAAAACTCCCTAAAATTGAAGGCAATATTTTATAATTAACCCTTTTAAATAAGGTTTAACGTGCAAATATTATTATATCTAAAGGAAAGCAGTAATTGTGTCCAATTCGTCTATACCTTTCTCATGGTTGACTTCACGTTTTTTTGGCCGCACGTCCAAGCTAGCAGTGGATAAAATATATATATTCTTTCTGTTCAAAGTTTAGCATCTATTCTATCATCTGATTTAGAGATTTCTCTATTCATTCATTCATTGCACGGGTATAACGTTACTATTTTATACCAAAAAAAAAAACAATAATTTTCTCCAATTTGTCTTCTCTGTGGTCTACGAAACATAAAATATACACTTGGTTGCTTTCTAGAAGATTTTCATCTCTAGGTATTTCTCATTCCCACCCTCATTCTTATTCCTATTCCTATTCAGGAGGGGGTGACATCATTCATGTGTTTATACTTTTTGATGACATCATTCATGATTCACGATAAATTATAATTATTGAATTGATAATAGATCTTAATTAATAGTGAAATTCATTGTCAATTTAATGACAGAGAATGATAATATTATCAAATAAAGTCACTAAATAAGATTCATGTAGCATTGTTTTTCCCACAATAGTTGCACCGCATTTGCGCATGGGTCTTGGTGCTCTAATGTTCTATATTGTAACCAAGACTTCAGAAATCCAGCATCCTACCCTCAATCTAAAAGCAAAAGGGCAAATTTCTGATCTATTTCGCTTGTTTTGTCAAGGTCTTTTTTTGGTAGCTCTTTTGCCTATTTGCTCAGGTTTTGGTTTTTGGTACATTGGAAAGTTAAAATAGGGTTAACTATTTATCCTCTAACAAAAGAGATGCCGGCTATATCATTCTTCAGTAGAGTAGACCCTCATTCGCCATTTTATCACCACAAATTTTCTTCTCTGAAGAGAAAAGTTATTTTTTTTCTTTTAAATGAAAGTAACAGTCCCAAAAAACAGTAATGGATGAAAGGTCAGCATTGACAAAAATCACAAAAAGTAGGAAGGATAAAATTACCTGCCTTGTTTTCTTAGTTAAATTGCTTTTGCTCCAGATTCACAAAAATACAGCCTCTATTGGAGTAACTGGTGATTGATCCGTCACTGTGACTCCCCCCTAAAAACTTAGGCCACCTAGCAATCAATAAGAATGGACAAGAATTTTCCTACTACCAGCCCAATAATGCTCGAAAAAGTAGCAAAAGAAGAAGAAGATTAAGAATTATCTGGAGGAAATATACCCCAGCCATCTAGCAATCCAAATATGACTGCCATCTGTATGAAATGTTCCTAGCAGCCAGCTATGGCAGTTTTGATACATATTAAAATGTCACAAGACTACATACTATAGTTTTATTTTGTTTTTGGTTTTTCAACACAAAGTTCATATCTAACGTGGAGAAATAGATGGATACATCCACTTAACAAACACTAAAGATGACCAGATCCCCACCTGACTTGTAGATAGGACTCTCATTTAAGTATAATAATTCTCTGTCAAGCTGAAACATCACGAAAAGCATCCACATTACCAAATTTTTTAATCAAGTTTCTGGACGAAGGTGTTCCTGCAACTACATCCTCTTCAATGCCACATTCATTTGATCCTCTTCTAATCATGAAGTATCCATCCTGCCATTCAGAAAGCATATCAAGGTTTTTATTAAGGGCCCAAGAAACCAGGCTAACTGAAGCAAAAAAAAACGAAAAAAAATCTGATGCAGAACATACATCACCCCAGCTTCTATTCCACTGATTTGCAAGCAGCTGCAACAGATTGAGTAGAAAATGAAGTCACTATCTTAGACGGGGATTCATAAACGATGTGGAGTACCAAAAATAAGAAACATATGAGCATACCCAATAATCGTTCCCATCATCAGTGGTTCCCCATCCAATTAGCTTGACAGCATGACCCCCCATGACATCACCTGTCATGTGTTTGTAAACTCCTGACTTGTAATGAGCAAAATCCTATAATGGATGAACTATAGCAGTCAAATATATGACCTTTTATATGCACAAGGAAAGATAATTAAAAGAATCTATCTATATATATATATATACATAACAATTTAGAGGTGAGATGGATTGGGAATCCTGCCCTCCTGCCCTCCTCATTTCCTAATTTCTTAGAATTTAAAATTTTTTAATTCAAAACCTAAGACTCCCTCCAATCAAACACTACCATATGTCATTTATCTACCCCTCAAATCCTCAATAACTACCAACTATTTTTAAAAATTTATTTAAGAAAATCACTTTATCACCAAAAAACTTTCTATAATGTTTATCTAATTTCTCAAGTGACAAAATAAAATAAAAAAGTTGGATAAAAAAAACACAAATTATAATCCCGTGCATTGCACGGGCAGGCCATTAGTAAAGATATAATATAATGCTACGTAACAATCAGATTCCATCAAAACCATAAGGGTCCGTTTGTTTAAGGGGATAATGATAAAAAATGCAAGAAAGAGAAAATTTTAAAAATTTTATGTATTTGGTTAACATGAAATAGAAAATGATGAAAGAAATAATTTTCTTCCATACTTAAATTTTCTCACAACTAACCTACTTTTTCTTCTTGTAAAAAATACAAGGAAATGCAAAAAAGTTGTGATCTTTAATTAACTTCTAATGTTATCCTTATTTTTATTAAAATATTTTATTGGTTATTAATTTTAAAAAATCTTAGTATAAATTTGATTAATCATATAATTTAGTTCTGAGAACTTGGTTCTGTTGCCTGTTCCAGAATTAGGTTAGGAGCCACTTTTTTAAAATTTTTAAATTTTTAATTATAATAAATATTTTTTACTTATTTAGATTGATTTAATATACTTAAGTGTAATTTAGACAATTTAAAAAAATCTTGTAACTTTCTTTTCTTTCAAATAATTGATTGAAATTTTTCTAAAACTTTCTCACAATTTTTTCTAAAACTTTCTCACAATTTTTTCATACTAACCAAATACATACGTGAAAATATATTTTCTTTCATTTTATTTTATTTTACTTTACTTTCTATCATTTTCACTTTTCTTCATTTTTTTCTTTCTAACCAAATGGACCCAAAGAAGAACTTTGATTTACAAAGCATTCTGTAGCACTGTGCCATAGAGAAAACAAAATATTGAGGGCCACTTTTACTCCTACGTGAAACTGAAAACCCTTTCATGAATGAACATTGAAGTATGTAAAAACTCCAAATGCCAGAAATGATCTAGGTGATGGCCACATTATAGAAAATTTCTAGTCACTGAAAGCCATCCCATACGGAGCAACAGAACTAGGATTTTAGGCTAAAGAGGCCAAATAGTAGTATAGTCCAGAATTTTAGTCAATCAGGTTGTTCAAGTTTTCAATAATCTTAAATTTTTAGCTTTATAGAACATATCAAAATCAACTTTTGCACGACAAATTAGAGTATTATACTTCCAATAAAACATACAATATTGATTCAAATTTGTCTAGTTACACTCAATAAAAAAACATGATATGTTTATCAAATAATCACCTATTTCAAGTCAATTTCATTACAGTAACAAATTCAACTTGAGCCCATAACTATCTAACCATCTTAGACTTTCACACCTTCCCAACTAGACCACAATCTCTGTGGTATTCTTAGGGGACCAATACATTACGCATTAATGAGATAAGTTATTCTAAATTAATGAGTTACTACATAAAATTTATAGTTATCAATGTATAGGTTAGTTTTAAAAACATGAGGTGGGCCATGGCCCCCCTAGGCCTAAGGGTGGTTCCACTCCTGCCCATAAGAAAATGGTTGAACATTTTTTTTTTCAACTTTCCAAACTTACACTAAAAGGGTGATGGGCAGTACAGAACACTTTATAGAATCGTTCATACAGTTGCAGCAAATACATCACATAAAAAAGGAGCACAAGATGTTTAATATTTTTTTCACTTTCTTTTTACCTCATAGACAGTGAAAGAGACCTCAACTGGTCCATTCTTATAAACTTCTGCCATAATATTGTAGGGATCCGAGTCGATTCTATAAGCGTTGACACTGAAATGTTTTGATTCCGTCCAGAGCAGGTTCTCTTTTACGCATTTTCTTTCACACATTGGTGTGGGATATGCAGGTTCACAACCAGGGTGGGAGCAGCCACTATTATCAAAGTATGGGTCGCACTGCCAGGGAAAAAAATCATTTAGAGATATGTCAACCAGGACATGAGCTCGTGGGACAAAGCGTTAAGCTTTACGAAGTTACTAGGTGGAATTACAACTGTAACAAAAGAGAACTTCAAAATTTAACTGACACCATTCTGAAGTGCAGGAAAAAAATCAATGAGTCACAATTCCATGACAAAGAAAAATACTTACCTCTTCAGCAACAACACCATTTTGGACAAAGTAATTCCATGCATAAATAGGATAACCACCATCACAACCTCCACCACACATAAAGCCACAACATGCTAAGAGATCATTGACAGATAGTGAAATATTCTGCAAAAGATATGAATAACAGATTTATATCGTTATAATGGAAAGAAAACCTTCCCAATTTGTCATCCATACAATGTAAGAGTTTACCATGCCAAAATGGATGCAGAAGCGATCAGATAGTGACTCGACAGCACCAAAAGCCCAACAAGAACCACAGTGTCCCTGATTCATGGAGAACCAGATCAGCTAAGAATTTGAACTGCCCATTCAATGTTAAAGAAGAATATTGCTAGACAAATGAAAATTTTGTTCACCTGATCTTTGATGGGGACAATTATTACAGTGGACGACACAGAGGAAGTAAAAGTATTAGCACCTTTACGGATGAATCATAAATGAACAAAGATGAAACAACTAACTGACCAAGAATTCTGCTAATGGTGCTACATTGAGGCCAAGATTTGCGTGCATCAAACTGATTGGGCAACTTCAGACCTTTTGGATGAGTTCTAACAGGAATGCTCTTCAAATCTCTCAGGGGTGTTGGTTTTACTCCAAGGAGGTACTTAAATTGGCCAACCTTTGTACCCCAAAAAATAAAAAATAAAAAAAGTGACAACTATAAGTACAGAACAAACTACAGCTAGCCATTGTCAATGAAAGAAATTGAAAGATTTAGCAAAAACGTCCTGCAAGTTGAAAAGACTCACGGTGTAGTTGGAAAATCGAGCACTCATGGCAGCTTTCCATCCAGCTTTCGGGTTCCCATTGATCAGTCGAACGATCGAGCCCTGGGTGGCCATTTTAATAGACAAAGTGTTTCAATTCCTAAACAAAGCACAGTAGAAGGGAAAATTTTATCCTATCATACAGGTAAGAAAGTACCTGAAGAATCTCAGGTTCAGATTTAAAATGAGGAATCGGTTCCAGTGCAACAACCTGCATATACATAGGTCCTAATAAGTCCTACAAAGGAAATCTTATTTTAGTAGTGTTAGCAACCAACTGGCCATTTTATTTTAGTAGGGTTAGCAAACGACAGGGTAGTTCTTCTCCAAGCTACTCTCAGAGTTCTCATACATCTTGTAAGAGCAACCTACGTTTGGTTAGAGTCCAACATTATTTTCATCTCTCCTTCTCTTGCACAACAAACTCTAATGCCAATTTCTAATGGAAAATGTTCTCTTCCTTTCTCTTCTATTGTTTCGCCTTTGCATCAAACAAATACAGAACTTGCTGCGTTAATGATGAAGATTCAAAAGTAAAAAAAAAGAACAAGAGCAAATCTAGAATCTCAGGAGGAGCACACTTTGGACGGCATATAATGAAGTGCCGGGTAAAATTTAAAACTCACATCAATAAAATTTCAATCTTTTTTGATGTGAACTTTATCTTAATAACCTGTTGGAATTGTTGTAATAATGTATTGTAAGGTTGGGTATGGGTAGTAGCCATACCCCCAACAATTATGTGAGATTTGGTTGATAAAGTAATAAAGTTGGTTGACTCAAGTCAAGAAGTTCTTCTCACATACTGTGCAGTCCATATATACCAATATATACCAGCAAAACTGGAAGAAAAATTTTATAGGACAGCTATGAGGCTAGAAGCTAGACTGAACAAAATATTTTTTAATTAGAAACAAGACATTATTAAAATGAGTGTAGTTAAAACGAGAATGTAAGGGTGAATGAAGATGCACATGAACATGTACGGCAAAGATCCATAGTAGCTTTAGTAAGGCTGAATGACAAAATCATCATTATTTGAAATGTTCAAGAAGGAATACAACAAAATTGAGATGGAATGAGGTAGCGAAAAAGGATATGGCCATTTATTAATAACTAAAAAACGGTACTTGAAAAAGTATAATAGCAAAATGGTTTAGTTTCCTTGGGGCAGTAAGGTAGGCATAACCCACTGGCTGTATTTTGAGTCCAATTATGTTATTTGGGTTTTATTTAGAGCCCTAAGTGGCAAGTAGTGTAGAATAGTCCTCGTACTTAAAGGGCTGGTGGAAATAGAGGAGAGATCCATTCCTCGTAGAAAATAGTTCGATTACCTGACACTAAATTTTTTTTTAAACAGAACTGACACTAACCTGATTACAGCTGCATGGACCTATAATTATAAACCCCAGAAACTTTAAATCCCTAGATCTGAACTACCCGGAAATATCTACAATTACTAAAACTAGAAGAAACTTATGTATAAATCGTCGTCAGGAAAGAGGGAACGACAATCGAATCAAATGTTTCAAACATTGTAAACAATCCGACTATCGATTGAAGTAATTGTACAGGCAAACATATAGGAAACGACACAGAGGATGATCAGTCAGGATACGAACCTGTAGCTGAAACTTGGAGATGGAAACCAAAAGTAGCAGAGTCGCCAAATACACCTGAAAGTTAGCCATCTTCCTTCCTCCCTCCCTCGTGTACAGCTTAGCTGATCGTTCAGCCAGGATAAAGTCGCAGACCTGCAATTATTGGCTTCTTATGAAGTTGCAAGAGCTGGGAATCGCGTCGGTTAAAAGGTTATGGGTCGGGAATTCCACGAGCGACGAATAAAAAAAATTTAAATTTATACACAATATATTTAATTAAAGAATAAAAAATTTCAACATGAATACAATCCGTTTAATAAACAGATAAATGAATAAAAAATCTCAAATACGAATATGATCCGTTTAATAAATAGGTAACACGATACGACTCGTTTAACCCGTTTAATTTTAAAAAAATTATATCAATAAATTTTAATTCTTTACTTTTTTTTCTGTCAATTATATTTACCACAAAAAAGAGAAATTTTTAATCAAATCTTATAAAAATAAGATTGTTCTAAAAAATAAATAAAAGGTCATTGTCTTTTATAAGCTACTTAATTCTCTCCATCTCTCCTCGTTTTTCNTCTCAAATACGAATATGATCCGTTTAATAAATAGGTAACACGATACGACTCGTTTAATCCGTTTAATTTTAAAAAAATTATATCAATAAATTTTAATTCTTTACTTTTTTTCTGTCAATTATATTTACCACAAAAAAGAGAAATTTTTAATCAAATCTTATAAAAATAAGATTGTTCTAAAAAAAAAATAAAAGGTCATTGTCTTTTATAAGCTACTTAATTCTCTCCATCTCTTCTCGTTTTTTAATGCGGGACAAAAACAAAAGACATTGATTTGTCTTTGTCTTTGAAGTGCTCCACATCTCTTCTCATTTATCTTTGAAATACTACTTTACTTCTTTTTTTTTTTATTAATTTCTTTGTTTTTTTTCTTGTTAAAATTTTAAAATAATTATTAATTTANCTCGTTTTTTAATGCGGGACAAAAACAAAAGACATTGATTTGTCTTTGTCTTTGAAGTGCTCCACATCTCTTCTCATTTATCTTTGAAATACTACTTTACTTCTTTTTTTTTATTAATTTCTTTGTTTTTTTTCTTGTTAAAATTTTAAAATAATTATTAATTTATTATTATATTAATTTTATTTAAACGGATAAACGTGTGATAAACGGTTTAACAAGTCTTACCCGAATACGACTCATTTATTAAACAGGTTTGACTTGTCAACCCGTTTATCACCCCAAACCCGTTAAAATCTCACTCAAACTCATTTAATTCGTATTGATTAATCGTATTNATTAATTTATTATTATATTAATTTTATTTAAACGGATAAACGTGTGATAAACAGTTTAACAAGTCTTACCCGAATACGACTCATTTATTAAACAGGTTTGACTTGTCAACCCGTTTATCACCTCAAACCCGTTAAAATCTCACTCAAACTCATTTAATTCGTATTGATTAATCGTATCATGTCAAATTTTAACAGTCTTAGATGACGTTTCAAATATTTTAGACAAGATCCAGATCCTCTGATTTTCAACGCTTGCGTCTTGCCAATTTTGGTCATACTAGACTACTAGCTAGTTCGGACTTGGATTATTTTAATTTTAAGTATAAAAAATCAAATAAATTAAGTAGATCACAATTCTTGAAAATTGTTTATTAATTATGCATCCTAACTGATATTAGCATCAAACAACTTTTGTGAGTCCATTCAATTGAGAATTTGTGCATGCACTCTAAGAGAATGTGTAAATTTTGGAGTTGCATTGGGAGTTTGGTAAATGGTCATTGATTTATGCTATTGAAAGAAAGATTTTTGTGTATCATTTTGCTTTTATTGTCAGTGTGTTCGAAAAAAATAATATTTAAACATATTCATACAATATTTATTAGTATCATAGTTCATTATTGTCCTATTGTACCTCAGTGATAGGAAGGGAGAGATTGACAATAAATATTATCTTAAACTCTGCAAATCAAGTAATTTATAATATAAAATAGAATATGTTTCAATAAGCTCATTCGACGGTTTCACACACAAATACTTGTTTGCTTATCCAAGAAAGAGATGACAACACACACAAATGACAGTAGAAATTTGAAAGTCCTAAATCCATTCCACTTCCAAACCCAGGCGTTTGAATTAAAGTAGAAATATGACCGTCATAACTCATAAATTCATACAACTTTCAATTGGTGCCTGACATTTATCCCTCTAATTTGATAGATTCAAAAATTGACATGAGATGATCAATCGAGGGTAATTTTGAAAAATGAAAGTTTTTCACATTAACCGCATTTTAGTAGTTGTATGTATAGATATAGACAATCTCTTAAAATATCCTTTCCCACCTCATTTCTATACACACCCCAGGAAAAGTTATTGATTTCTTTTTGCACCCTGATAACATCTATCCTCCATTCCCACTGCACCCATTTGAACTCTAATATCCATTCCCCCCCCATGCGTGAATCCTTCCACTCATTCTCTATCTCTCTCTCTCTCTCTCTATCNTCTATCCTCCATTCCCACTGCACCCATTTGAACTCTAATATCCATTCCCCCCCCATGTGTGAATCCTTCCACTCATTCTCTATCTCTCTCTCTCTCTCTCTCTCTCTCACTAGTGAATTGTAGATTCTTTTGTGTTGATTTTGGGAGCAATTGTTAATTGGTTCTGCTCGTTGTTGGTGGAGCTTTGGTGATGCGCGTTCTCTATAAAGTTGATGAATCTTAGAGAATTGGTGCTAAAAGAATCTCCAATAGGTTCTATATCCTCATTCAATTATTTATTTTAAAAGCAAACCACCAAAATTCCATTTCAAATAGACTCTTGATTCTTTACATTTGAAGAGTCAAATTTACTCTTAATTTTAAAGTTAATGAATGAAAAGATGATACATATACATATTTCATTAAATGTTTTGACTTCTATTAGAGTTGCTAAAAATATTTTACTCTCTATTTTAAAGTTTCATCAATGATGCTTCCTAATATTATTGGAGATGCTCTAAGCATGTTTCTGGGGGGGGAGTTGTTAGTTTCTTTTTATCTTTCCAATATTATTCTTGCAAAATTAGGGTTTTTCATCAACCCTAAAATATTAAAAACCAAACATGCATTGTCGTTGATTATGGACTGAAGATGGTTGATTGAACACTTCTAAAAATCAACAAGGAGTTGACACGTGTCCTCGGCTTGGTTGACGTGGATACACAACAAATTGACAGGTATCCTTGGTGTAGGTCCCCCTCAGAACCCCTTGAGAGTGATACGTGCCCTCGGCGCATATCACCCTCGAAGCCTTCTATGTCTGACATGTGTCTTCCTCGGAGTTCCCTGCATCTGACGCATGTCCTCAACACGAGTCTCCCTTGGGAACGTCCTCTATGTTGACATGTGTCTTTGGCATTAGGGATCCTCTAAACGTTGCCATGGTGACACGTGTTCTTGGCGTGCTTAAGCCTCGAGGTCCTCTACAAGACACGTCACCTTGGCTCTAGAACCTCCGAGATATGGATGGTGGATTGATAGTTATTGTTACTATTGATAAGTAATCATTGACTCACCTTCCCAAAACAGTCAGAATGGCAGAAAGAGCAGGTCAATAATCAATAATAATGATATACGAGGTATAGAGCACAAAACTAGGGGTCAATGGACAAAGATGCCCTACTCGTGTGCAACCATCATAAAGAGATATTAAATGATTATTCAAAAGGATGGGACACATTTATTATTTTTCGTGTGAAATCTTTCGAGGGCGAAACTTTAAGGGGGGTGGATTGTAAACCCCCACATGTTTATTTGGATATAGTGATATAATTATTTTATATTACTTATATATGTTATGATGTAGGAATGAATTAAGAATGAATAAATTATGCATGTGATAATTGTAAAAAAAAAAAAAAACTAAGATATACTAAGAAACTTGAAGTTCTGAGATGGTCACTCTTAGGAGAAAAGAATTTAGTTAAGTTTTAAATAACATCAAAAATAGATCTAAAAGGTCAAAAAGCCTTGGAATAAGTAATATAGGGTGTATTGAAAGTTTAGAAGTATTTTGAAGTAAAAATCTATTTTGGAGAGGATTTTGGTAGAAAAGAATTTGATACTACCTTCGTATTTTAGAAATAAATTTTTACGCCGATTTCAAATTCAGCTGAAATTTTTACCATAGAAACTAGATTTTAAGGGATACAAAAGTGTATTTCACAAAACTTTTGTGAATTAACTTTTAACTAGGTCAAAATCGAGGTGAGAGTCAGGGGCAGACTTGTACCTGCGCCCAAACGAGAATTCTCTATTTTTTCAACCTATAAATACCTTAGGGCTGCGTTCTAAATATTCTTTACTTTTTTTTCAATTCCAAGAAGCCTAAGAAAAGTTTGAGAGAAGAAAAAGAAAAAGAACGGGCTAAATCTTGAAGAATTAACGTGAGGTAATCACAACGAAACAGATTAGGATCAAGATTCATGAATCAAGGTAGGAGTTTCTTCTTAAACTTGTTCATTGAGGTTAGAGTTTATATATATGTATGTTTTGATTCTAAATCATATATATGNTCTTAAACTTGTTCATTGAGGTTAGAGTTTATATATATGTATGTTTTGATTCTAAATTATATATGTGTGTGTGTGTGTGTTATGAAATCATTGTTTCTTGATTTTCTTGCAAATCATATCATGTCTTGAATAAAGTTATCGTTTGATAGCTGTAAAGATTTTCATTCTTGTTATCAAAACCCTAGTTTTCAAGAAATATTAATTTTACCCTTGAGATTCTATTGTTCTTGATTTAAAGGCTCTAGTGTTTTGTTGGAACAATAAAATTATATTTCTTGATGATCTCTTGTATATTTTCATGAGTTGTTATGTTGGAAAAATACTTGTGAAATTATGGTTCTTGGTTACCTGTGGAATTATGGTTCTTGGTTTACCTGTAATTTGGTGAACTGGTTTGGTATTGTATCTATTGTGTAGATGTTTTGATGAACATGGGTGACCGTTGACCGGATATCGTAGAATGGGTAGATGCATTTTTTACCCC